TGTTTCCCCATCCTTTACCAAGACAATTGATGAACTTGAGATTGTATTCAAGTGGAGTTCATACAATCCCATAGGTTGTCATGTTGTTGACGACGATTCGATATCTGTTAGAGGAAGAGGAAACTGATTCACCAGGAGTTGTGGTGAAAGTATCGAACTCATTGACAATGGAAGTCAGACGTTTATCCTTCATGTTTTCTGATCCTTCGAACAGGTCTTGGAGAGTGTCCCAAATCTCTTTAGCAGATTTACACAACTTAATGTGCTCAAAGAGAGAAGGAGGAACACCAAACACCATTTTGGAAAAAGCAACTTGATCTGCATGCAATTTCTCGATGTCATCAGCAGTGAGAGGTGCTTGACGTTGTTCTTCCTGTCCCATGAGAGTTGCAGCAGCATCTCTTACAGTTTGTCTAACAGGAACATGTGGACCTTCTTTTACAGATCTCCAGATAGCTTCACCTCTTTCTTTACCAAGTAAAGATCTTTCCATTCTGACTTTCCAGTGATCATACTCTTCAACAACTAGCAATGGGGAACGAGAAGAGCAACCCACGCTATTTGCTATTTGCACTGAATACATTTGTTGAGAATTAGGAGCAGCCATTGAAGTTAAGATATTAGAGCAGCAGTGGCATATAGAAGAAATGTTATCTTGAACATAGAAATGATCGAAATACCAAGGTAATTTCGAATCAACTATAATATGTTCTTATGGATTCAAAGGACAACCACTCAGGCTCTGATACCAATTGTGAGTACTAGGAATGATGCGTGAGGACAAGGTTTGAAAACTCAAACCTTAAGATAATCTTTAAGGTCAATGTCTGCTCTTAATTAATGGTTCCAGTCAAGTCTGGTAATACCAGTTGACACTTGGAGTAAAGATTCAACAAAGTACACAATATTAAATGAAGAGATTGGGAGTATAATCAATGTAAAGACAACAAATGAACAAGAAGAATGTTTATGAAAGATATTGACTTTGAAAGAAAAGTAAAATTAAATCAAAGGGAATTTTGCTATATTTGGAGTAACAATGCGTGGTATTCTTGTCATTAAAATCACTCCTTATATTGGCTAAGGAGGAACATCATACAAACTTGGATACATTCCTAGGACTGGATAATAATTAGCTACTAACAACTGATTATCTAACAAATACAAAAGGCTAAGTTCTATGAAATGTTACATCATGAGTAAGAAAAGAAATAATAAATGTTCAAACAAACAAACTGATCACGGATCTACTCTCCATCTCGGAATAGTCTTCACTTCGGACTCTATCTCTACTTCGGAAACAACTGACTTCGGATCTTCAATACTTGTGATTGCTAGAAGTTCACTTTTCAGGTTCTAACAGTACACAACTCGAGAATCGCTCGGGAGTCAGTGGCACGTAAATTGATAGAATGTGAGATGTGTTTTGAGTGTGAGAATGATCAGCTGAAATTTGCTATTTGTAGAGGATTTTCAGATGCGCACCGTGCAGTGCGTTCCGTGCCACTTGCACGTGAACCATCTAGATGTTGACACGTGTCGTCTTCTTTATGGTGCTACGTCATCCGTATCCTGACGAATCGGTGTGTCAAAGTGCACGCCGCACACAACGTGCGGGTGCACGTGAGGATATTTTATAAACTTTGAAAATTCTTAATTCTCGCATATGATCTCCGTTTTTAACGGCTCTTATATATCCGTGTAGGTCTCGACGTATTCTACAACTTTCTTTTTGGTTGTTTTGGCTAATACCGAATTTTGTTTTTTGTCTATATTTTATAACCCTTATGATTTTATAAAAATAATAACTCTCTCATACGGTTTTTTTAGGCGTTCTTTATTTCTTAAATCCTACTTTGCGTAGTACTACGTTTCGTCTTTCGGCGACCTCTGAAAAAGATCAACCATTATCTTCTTAGTTTTTCGATGTTGTAAAGTTTAGCATGCAGTAGATTTTTATTTCTTATAAAGATCATATATTTTCTATGCTGAGTTGGATCTTTACGAAGTTTATATTTTTGGGCTTGCGGTAACTTGTGCGTTCTAAAAATGTTAACATGCTCGTAAGATGACATGGTTTTTCGCGCACTAAATCTTTGAGTCTAATTGTCGACGTAATTAAGGACAAAAATCGAATATGTTTATTTATATGAAAAATGATTGCAGAGTCGTTCAATTAAGTGTCGCTGGTAGCGTTAGATCCTAACAACGGTCGATGACGTATTTTCTGTGTTGTCACATTTTCAGCTCACAGCAGAGGAGGCCAGGACGACACCTGATGTTGTTACTGGTATGTATTAATTTATTATTCTGTCAAAGTTGTTTCCATATGCTTATGATTTTATTTCTGATAGGTATTTTCTTACTAAATTCTTTGCTTGTTCGTATGCCTTTTGACTCGGATGCGAGTCGGTCCTTTGTATCTCAGTCCTTCTGTAGGGATTTCGATATAACTCTTTGGGAGTTGGAGTGCCCGTTGCGAGTTTCCATCGCCAACAAACACACAATTTTTGCTCCGAGTGTTTTACGTGATTTGACTTTGGAGATCTTCGGGGTGACTTACCCGATTGACTTGATTCCCATCCCGATGGGTGACGTGTGCGTGATCATAGTGATGGACTAGTTGAGCAGGTTTGGAGCCATGATCGATTTTGATAGACAGTTAGTGGTGGTTCGAACCCCAAGTGGGGGAGAGCTGACTATCCATGACGAGGGCACTAGGGTTGGTTCAACTTCTTATTCGGCTGCCACGACCAGACAGTATCTCCAGCATGGATGTTTGGGTTATCTCGCTTATGTAGTTGATACTCAGATTGAAGGGAATGTTTCAGTTTTAGATGTGACGGTGGTCAGAGAGTTCTCAGATGTTTTCTAGGAGGATTTACCCACTGTGCCTCCCGTGAGGCTGGTGGAGCTCAGGATCGTTCTGATCCATGGTGTGGCCCCGATTGCTAAGGCACCGTATCGCCTTGCACTACCATATATGCAGCAGTTGTCCTCTTAGCTTTAGGAGCTGTTGGGAAAATAGTTTATCAAACTGAGCAGTTCGCCCTGGGGAGCGTCGATTTTGTTTGTGAAGAGGAAGGATAGGTCTCACCGTATGTGCATAAATTATAAGGGTTGAACAAGTTGACGATGAAGAATCATTACCCAAGGGAGCGGTACAACTACTATAGGCCTTGTGAGGCGAGCCAATGGACTGTAAGCTCGGTAAAGTGGTCCAGGCATCATGTAGGTCTTGCAAGGCGGTCCACGAAGACTGTAGGTTCATGTGTGCATGCATTGTATGTGTATTGTTGTATGAGGTATTTTGGAGGAACAGACTACGTTTTGGCTTACAGTTGTTGATTAAATGTTTTTCAGATATTAATCGGATGGCGAAGACATGACTATACACACGCACATCAACTGTTCTATAGTTCGAGATTCCGTAATGTTTTCCTTATAATCTGCTTTTGAATTATGATTTATGAACAATTGGTTTGACACGAAAGTAACTTCATCATAACGGATGTTTTATTCTTTTTTAAAAATAAAAAATTTACTATGGTTGTTAGGACGTTACAATCGGTTATTTTCTATGTATCCCAATTCGACACAAAACAATCAACATAATAATAAATAATAATAAAATTAATGTAAAAAGACTAAAAATAAAAATTACTAATTTTAATTTGTAAATATTGTTAAGATAGATGATGACGACGACGACTACGACGACGGTAACAACAGTAAGGAGTGATTTTCTGAAACGAAAGGTCATTAGTTCAAGTCTTACTATGAGACAGGTGGTAATTAGGAGTATGTTAGTTTGACGTTTCAATAATAATAATAATAATAATAATAATAATAATAATAATAATTACAGAATATACGTACATAAGTAAACTACATGAGGTAATGAATGAATAAAGCATCAGGCTAACATGTTAGTAGTATGTCGATAATTTCCAACAGATTTACGATGGATTGTGGATCTTTAACAAGAAAACATTTTTGTTTTATTTCATCTGCAATTTTCAATAGATTACATACATATTTTTCTGTTGTTATTTTGGATGTCGCTAAATTTTGACTTTTTTAGTTTATTGTTTAATATGTCGCTAACTTAACGCAATTAACGTGTCTAGCTTGGAATCGCCGTTTTTCCCATATACTTTTTTTTGGTTTTTTTTTGGTGACAAGTGTTATTATTGAAGATATTTGTTAAGATTTTGTGGTAGCTAGATCTTTGATTAAGAGTCCACTATATGAGTACAAGGAGCCATTGGTAAGAAAATAAATTATTATGAATCAGATATCTTTAAAAATGTATATTCTTATATATTCGATTATAAATAAAATACGTTTTTAAGTCCGTTGCATTACGTGGTATAGTTATTTGGATCAAAAATTGAATAAATTACAATTCATGAGAGGTTATAGCCTATATAGGGTTTCACATTTGAAATATAGCATCTTGTGCAATAGATATATGGTTCTTTAATTTATTATACTAGCTTGACGGACCTCTCTGTCATCTTGTATACGTACTGTCTCTTTACCTGAAATTTCCCCATGCAAACAGTAAAAGCGTAAAGGTTGAATTACAAAAGGGAAGACGCACATGGAGTCATGGAGGCCGCATAGGATTTTCCGTGTGAATTCAACAGAAAAGATGTAAACAAGCAGGACCTGCACCGCTGCACGTATGTATGGCCTCTTGAGCATGAAAGTCAAAATAAAACTAAACCCCAAGATATTCGAAGTCTTACATGAATTTTTTAATAAATCTAACTTGGTCAACGCGCTCATACGTGAGAGAGAAGGCATAGTCAAAATAACGAATGGGACCCTTCATCAAACCCTAGACTTTCTGTCTCATGCCTTCCTTTCCATTTTACGTATATGTATACTTGAAGCTGCCATCTTTCTCTTCATCAAAATTTTCTCCACAATCAACTCCACAAATATTCAATTCCTCTTCTTATTCACACCGAAAGTCTGAAACAACCCACAAAATGGCATTGAGAAATACTAATTCCACCAACATCTCTTTGAATAGTTTATGTTTTGTCATTGGGATTATCATCTTTTCAATGACAACACAACTCACTGGGGTTGACTGCAGAGCTTTATGTTCGACACAACTCATCCCCGCAACTCGAATTGAACGAGTTGATGAAGCTGAGGACACCACAACTGAATCCAGGCTCTCTTCTTTCAGCATAACGCGTTGCAGTAGCCTCAGATCGAGGATGAGGAACTTGGGATATAAGCTGGCTTCCGGACCTAGCAAAAGAGGACCAGGCCATTAATATATAAAAACTCCAAGCATTTTTAATCTCCTTCTCATTTTTATTTTTCTTTTGATTTTATAGATTTGTTTCTATTGTTGTGGATAACAACTCATAGTTATATTCAAATCATAAGGAAACTGCTGCGGCATCATAGAGGAAGTTATATGTACAGTTAACAGTTTATGTTATTCACATAACTTAACTTCAGCAATCTATCAGTTTGAATTTAATTAGTCTTTGGGAATTTGATTTTACATGCACATCTCAATTTATTCAAAAGGTTTAATTAATTATGGTAATCTGATGAATATTTAGTATTCAAGAGTATCAATAGAAATGACGAGAATAAGCAAGATTTTTGGAATATGGAATTCGATTTACTGATGATACACTATCGTCCAATCTTAGAGAATGTAAAAAGTGTTAGTATTGCCTTCTCGTCTGTCAAAGAAAAGCTTCATGTCAGGAGGAGAAGAAACAAACTCATTTCTTGTATATAGAGAATGCAAAAAGTGTCACGATTATGTTGGTTAGATTGCAACATTCTTGATATAAGTGGGGAAGACTTTTATAGGGGTGTCGTGTTAATCTTTAGTCCTTATATTTATTTGAGGGTGCTGCTATTAAGACACCCTTTAGACACCCTATAGACAACTTTATCAAAAGTCAACCATTAAATAACTATTTTTAATCAGCTTTTTCAAAAAACAATGTAATTTTAACCAATAAAAATACCTTAAAAATTATACAGGGTGTCTAAATGGTAAAATAGGGTGTCACCGTCCCTTTTTGTGTGGAAAAGGAAACGGAAATTAGATAAAAGGTGCCACAAAGAGTGGTCATGGTAAAAAAGGAAAAACTTGCTCTCAACAAAGTTACAAAACTTACTAACAGCCCATTCTGAAATAATGACCAGACGGTTTGCGAGAATACCGGGATTCTTTTATCACTTTTGACGAGTTAGCAGAGCTTTATCTTCATTAGACCATATTATCGCGGTTGATACACATAGTCGCTGCTAATGACACTATACAATAAATAAAGGCAATGGGGGCGACAACTGTCGCCGCTAAAGCCATAAAAAATGGTCATCTATAATAGCGGCGATACAAACACTAGCAGTGACACTGCTGGATGTCGCCGCTAACAGTGTCGCTGTTATTGTCCAAATTTCTTGTAGTGTGATACTATCACTGCTAATATATTACATCACTGGTCTCTAATACTCTTGTCACCACTACTAATATTTATAAGTAGTTTTTTTTTTTTTTTTCGTAAAAAACCATACCTTCCAAATGCTGAAAAACTGTTACAAAATATAAAAAATTGCTACCAAAGATTAATTGCAAAAAACCGATCCAAACATTAAAAATTTAATAATATGACATCGATCCCAAATTTGTTATAAGCGTTAAGTACAAAATATGTTATACTTCTAATAAAACATTACATAAACCCTAAAACTCGTTATCATCGCTCCCACGTTTCCTCCGACATCATTTTGTGGCGGCAATGATCGAATTCATGCTTCATGTACCGCAGTACAACACTGGTTGGAAATAATTGTTTGAAGATTATCCAACTACAAGGATAAATAATAACACAAACTTATAAATTAAACCAACAAATTACCTAAATATAAGTAAACTACAAATTATATTATCAAACTATCAAACTAACAATTACTAAACAACAAATTACCAACATATCAAACAATAACCAAAGTAACAATTACAAAAATATTACCAAACTAACACTTAATACCAAACTACAAACTACGAAGATATCAAACTATAACCAAACTAACAATTACCAAACAACAAATTACCTAGATATCTAACTATAACAAAAGTAACGTCGTCGTTATTGGTATTTAGGGCAATTTTTTCAGAGTGTAACATCCAGATTTTTAGATATATCGTCGTGAGAGTAAATTCTGGGATTTATGGAGCGATTCGACGAGTTGTGAGTCCAACTCGTCGAGTAGAGTCGAGTCATCCGCGTAGGTTTAATGAGCGGACTCGACGAGTCTGTGTGCCGACTCGCCGAGTTGGTGTTGTGCGAGGAAACCCTAAATTCCCGGGGTTGGAGCCTATTTAAGGAGACTTATAACCTTAAATGCACCTCACCAGCTGCCCAAATCTCCTGTGTGAAACCCTTAGCGGCCATTGAAGATAAGAGAGGGTGATTGAGCTAATATCAAGTGTTTTTGGTGAATCTTTGGAAGGAAGGGAGTGAGCAACAAGCAAGGAACGAGAAGAGGCTATGGGATCTAGCATTTCTGCACCTGGAGCTTCTGTAGAAGGTATAAAGCCTACACCTTTCTCATCTTATTAGTTGGATCTCATGAGTTTGAGAAGTTAGGGTTTTCATCACATATTATTTGGAACTTAGAGAAAACTAATCAAGAGGTTTAAACCTCATATCTGGACCTTGTGAGGTCCCTAGAGCCCAAAGGTCCCAACTTTATTCATCCACGAGAGGAGTATGGTGTTTAACACCTTGTGAGAACATGTATTGGTAGATTGGAGCAAAACCACCATGCATGAGCGTAAAGATCAAAGCTTTACGTGACAATCGAGCCTTAGGATAGTAGATCTAGTGTTTGGAGTGATAGATCTGCCTTAAATCGTCTGAATGAGAAATCAGATCAAAGGGACTCGCCGAGTCCATGAACTGACTCGACGAGTCGGTTAGGGTTTGTCCTGATGAGCTAGACCGTGCAATAACTCGGCGAGTTAGGGGTTAACTCGACGAGCTAGACCTTCATGAGACTTATGAAGCACGAGTGGACTCGACGAGTCGCATTAGTGCACTCGGCGATTCGGGTCAAACAAAGACTGTTGACTTGAGTTTGACTTCTGTTGACTTTAGGGTTTGGTCAACATGAGTAATGGTGACCATGGAGGGGTAAAATGGTCTTTTACCCAATTCAAGAGTTACAGAGAGAAGAATAAAATTTGGTTATTGAGAATCGAGAATCGAGTATTAATTAGAGATATTTACCCTATGTGTTAGGCAGTGGCTAGTTTGAGATTCGAGTTCGAGGATGATTGCTTGCTAACTGCAAGGTGAGTCTTCTCACTATACTTTACCTAGAGTGGTACTTATGTGTGACCTGAGGGTCTTATGTGCTTACATTGAGTATTATGTTATCATGCCTTATGTTTTATGTTGTACATTATGTCTTTGTGGTTTATGCTATGCGGAGTTTTACAGACTGGACCAGAGGGTCCAACGAACCATGGGATTGGAGGGTCCCACTGAGACACATTAACCGGAGGGTCTTACAGTGATATAGCCTCGATTGGCTAATGAGCTGTGTGTGTGGTATTTTGGGGAACTCACTAAGCCTCGTGCTTACCGTGTTATGTGTTATGTGTTTCAGGTTCCTCAGGATCGCAGGAAGGCACCGGCTTGATTGTACACACCAGTAAAAGAGTTACGTTTTGAAGATCCTGGATTATTAATCAAACAACTATGGATTTGTGTTTTGTAAATTAAACCAATGAGATTTTTATGAAATGTGTTATGAGAATCATGTGATTTTAAAATGAAAAATTTGTTTGAAAGATTACGGTGTTACACCGAGCATTAGAGGCGACATTGTCGCGGCTATTAACGTTTCCTCTATTGGTATTGTATAACATGCGTCTGTGGCCATTGGATCTATCCTACGTGTCAACGATTAGATCCAAAAGATGAGAGTTCACACAGATCACTTATGTAGGCAATACTGACAACAATCCTATTAGCGGTGATATTAATAATGGCCATCTCCAGTGATAGGGTCACTACTATTATCAACATTTATTGTAGTGATATCCATATATCTCAATGTCGTAACCTCACTATAAAATTATTAGAAAATATCGCTAATTTGATTGTGGATGTTGTACGGGTACAATAATCATTTGAGACACGTACGTAAAAATTTGTGTTCTTCATTTTTTTCGTGTGTGTGTGTGTGTGTGTATATATATATAGACACGCACACAAACGAAAAACCTTCGGACTTCAAATAATGTTGTTTTGATATAATATTTGGTCGATATCATGATGAAGCAAGGCATGTTGGTTACAGATCTTGTGAACGAATTTCATTCGATTATAGTATTAATGGTCCTTAAATCGAATGATGAAGTACAATAACTCTTCTTATCGTCATCATTGCCTAAGAGTTGGTACGACACAATTAAAACTATTAGTAGTTCATCCAGGACTATAAATTGGACATTCAAAGTAACTTTCGATTTGTTCTTAAATGAGGATATTCACATGCTCTTAAATGAGGATATTCACAGGAAAAATGTCGGTATGTGTTGTAATTTATCCTTAAGTGTAGGCATCATGCAAAGAAAATATAAAATAGGTACGGGTAATGGTAACACAAGATCAAGATCAAAAAAGATATCTCAGTCTATGAACAAAAAAGACGTCATCTATTGGAATTAGAAAGAAAAATGTCATTTCAAAAATAATTTCCCTAAATCGGTAGTAGATAAAGACAAGAAAGCGGTAAACTCAATAGCCAATTTTGAAAAAGTTCTGATCTATTATATAGAATGTCAAGTTGAATCTTAGATAATGTATTATGATGCATCATACCATATGATGTTAGCCCGTGCAAAGAAATGTTACAGAATTTCAAGCATTACAATGGAAAAGTGTGACTAGGTGATGACAAAAGTCTAGATATTATGGGTCTTGGGGATGTTGTCCTTGAAACATCTCTTGGTACGAATTTATTAATGAAATTTAATATAAATTCCAAACCTGAAGAGAATATTAATATTATTAGGAAAATTAGATGTTGTAGGATATCATGTTAAACTTGATGGTCACTAATGAAAGATGACAACAGAAAATTAAGTAGGTTTTTACTGACATAAATAAGCAACATTATATATGGTTGAGGTGTTGGAGATAGAGCTAATACAACTATTGAGGATATTGGTACATCTACTCTATGGAAACAAAGACTTGATCGCCTGAGCTAATACAATTATTGTTTATAT